AAAGACACTGGTGTTCGGTCGAACCGGTGGAAACAAAATCGTCACTCCCAGAATAACTATGCGAAATAACGATCTAAAGTCGAACCATTCGAGCCACAATATTAACTTACCGAAAAGCCGTGTTATTCACGGTCACTAACGTCGGTATAATCCGCCATTTTATTTGAGTGTGTTTGCCACCTGACGCTGCCCGGTGACGTCATCATGTGCGCTATAGAAGGAGGTCTGTCATTCGTTGACTAAAATCGTCGATAGTGGGTCTCGTTGAAATCTCGTTACATAGGCATCCGCTCAGATGTAGGTAGGGCGGAATTAAAAAAATCATCAAAATCAAAGTAAAATAATAAAATAAAAGGGCATTAATAACAAATATAATGAAAAATAAAATTAAAATAAAATACACTACATCAGATTTTAATCAGATTGTATTCGGATCAGAGCAGTCATAAACAGATCGCCATGAAGTAGTGCTTAAATCGGCAACGAAGGCTTCTGAATTTAAGTTTTGGAAGTCGTATTTGTAAATATCGTTTTTTTTGTCTGAAAACATATTTTAAATTTTTAAGGATACCAAAAATTGGATAATGATCACTAATGTCCATTAGGATCGTGCCACTTTCAATAAAATGATCAGTGATATTTGTTACTAAATGGTCTATTTGTTGTGCTGGATTGTTGAAAAACGCGAGTAGCAGTGTCGATTATCTGGGAGAAATTATAAGCATTGAGTAGGGTGAGATAGTTAGAAACAGGTGTGGTATTATGTGCAGTGTCAATGTTGACGTCACCAAGGATGATACACTTTTTACCACTAGCTGACAACTGGGATAGGCATGCTTCTAAACTGTCAATGTATTCATGATAAGATGTGTTAGATTTTCGGTAGTTAACATCTATGACGAGTCTATTGTTATTGACAATGGATTCCACAAAGATCGATTCACAATGTTTAATTTGAATATTATTAATGTGATTGAATGACAGAGAGCTGTGAATGTATAAAGCTACACCCCCACCCTGGGAACTTTCTCTATTGCAAGTGATTAAATTATAGTTTGGCAAGTTAAAAAGGACAGG